GTTACGGCTGCCCGGGTTACAGAGCCAGTGGGCGTGTGACTGAATTCAGGCAGCCTAACTCCAAAGCCTCTGCCCCTCTCTGTGGATGTGGACCCACATACTTACCACTGTCACACTATGGACTTGTGCCCCATAACAACATTTCCCTGAACATAGATGACAGTGGTCCCATAGGATTATAATGGAGCTAAAAATTCTTATCACACAGTAACACTGTGGCCAAGATAACATTGTAGCTCAATGCATCACTCGTGTTTGTGGTGATGCTGGTGTAATCACACCTACTATACTACCAGTTGTATAAAATTACAGCACATACAATCATGCACAGGACATGACACCATAGTAAGTGACAATGTGAATGGTGTATTTACTATAGTATACTTTTTACCATAATTTTAAGGTCATTCCTTCTACCAATAAAAAAGTTTACTGTAAAACAGCATTCCCTGTTAATGCTGGCAGCAGCCTCAGACATCTTGTGTTCAGCATGTCTCCTGATGGCATTAAAAGGCCAGGTCACTTGATTTATCCACACTACCTGTTTGTGTAAGTGTACTTTGTGATGTTCCTACAGTGACAAAATTGCCCAATGATGAATTTCTTAGAAGGTATCCTCAACATTAAGCAATGCCTGACTGTACTTAGATACAAAGAGTTGCTTCTCTCTCTCTCTGTTTCTGTCTCTCTCTCTCTGTCTCTCTGTTTGTGTTACACACACACACACACACACATGCACACTCACGAGGATGCCCACATACAAAATTCAGGTGATTACAAATCCCGCCAGGATTAAAGACTCTCAGAGATTGGCCAAGAGTGTGAACTTCCTCCTATGGACTCAGGCTGGGAAACAGGGTTAAATTTATGGCAGCACTTCTAATCTTATTTTCTCTCAACTCGCTGAGTAAATTTCTTGGCTGGAGTATTGGACATCATCTCTCTACTCAAAGCCTGGGGTTTATAAAAGACTAGGAAGTCCTCAGCATCAAGTAGTAGCCAAAGAGCCATGAAGTGTCAAGCTGGCCAGCCTCCTACATAATGCAATTTCCGTGTGCATTTATTTAAAAGGTGAGCCTGGAACATTTTGTTCAGCCAAAACCAAGAGAGTGCACAAAACCTAATGAGCACACATCAGAAAGATCTGTGATCCAGTTTCAAGAGGCTCCACTGGATGAATTTGGGTTATTAAGAGCACTGAAATGAAATGACATGGATTAATTAAAACACATTGAGTAAAAATACATATATGTGAATATATATTTACATATATATATATATCTATGTATTGAGTAAAAGTAAACTCACGATTTCACACTGATACTAAATTATTTCAAAGGGAGTGAGAAGAGAAAGTTTTTTATAAAACCTTGATACTAATATAAATAAGAGAAGCGATAGAAAATCTCTGTATCGTAAATGCCACGGTAAGAGGTAAGATTCACCAATGGATTCTACCCCGCTGGATGGGAAATTTCTGGGGAGGATTGTATTCATGCCACACATCACTCACCACTCATCAATTACAAAGGCAAGGAGATGAGATGGGGCATGGGCTGTAACCACAGTGCTGTACTCTGGAGGCTAAGGCAGAAGGAGGGCAAGTTCCAGCCTAGTCCGAGTAAAAACCATCGAGTGTGCATCTAGTCACACAGGTACAGATGGACAAATTCACACCGGGAGAAGGACTGTAAAGGACTGTGAAGACTGATGACATCTAAATGTAGTATGTGTATCGGTTCTCAGCCTTTTGGCTAAGATCAAGTGTAAATGTAGTGTGTGGTCCTTGATTAGATCCTGTATCAAACAACAACAAAATGCCCATAAAGGATATTGATTGGGTCGACTAAGTGGCCAGTGGAACAAATGGAGAAGTTTGAATATGGACTGCATGTTAGGTAGCAGTACTGGATCAATGCATGTAAAAGCTGTGCGGTGGTTCTGGGGGAGAATGTCCTATCTGGAGAAAACATTACCTAGAAGTGAAGAGACATGGTGTCTATGACAAATTCTTAAACAGATGAGCAAAACTAGTGAATGCATATGTGTGTGTGGAGAGAGACAGAAAATGAGGCAAATGTGAAAAATTGGTGAATGGTAAAATGTATGCAGTACTAGATCTACCATTTTTCTAAGATTTGACAATTTTCAAAATGGAAAGCAAGAAAGAGAGAAGGAGGAGGAGAAGAAGAGAGGGAGGGTGGGAGGCGGGGAGGGAGAGGGAGGAAAAGGAGGAGGGAGGGAGAAAGGTCAGGAACCGTCAGAAAAGGAAAGGAAAGGACCTGCTGTGGGCAAGGCCCTCCTTGGGACAGAAGCGGTTTAGCAGAGGTGGCTTCTACCTGCCCATCATCTTTCCCTTTCTTCTGCCAACAACCTTCTCCCTCTTTATGTACCATGTGGGCAATGCCTGTGCCCTGGGGTAGACACATGGTGCTGGCCAGGTCAATCCTGGTGCTACAAGCTGCTGCCTGCTGTGATTGGGCAGAAATGAAGAGATGATCTGAGCTGAGCCAATCAGGATCCTTCCCTGGGATTTTCTAAGTGAAACTTCCAGGGAAGTTCCTTCTAGTCTAAAATCAGTAGCTGTAGTCTATGACTCCTGAACTTCTCAGGGTCACTCACCACATGAGAATGGAGTCCTAGAAGGGGGCACAGCTGAACAGCCTGGAGGGAAGAGGGCCTGGCAGTGTCAAGTTCTAGAGTCTAAGGCCTGAGGTCTCTGGAACCATCAATGTTCTGGAGACTCTGACTTTGGTCCTGTGGTTTATTTATAGTGATTAGAAGGCAAGATGTGATGGGATGTCTTATGGACAATCACAAAGGACAGAGGCGAGAGGGAGGGAAGGGGGAGGGAGGGAGAGAGGGGGTGGCTTTCTGAAGAAGGCATTTGGGCTGAGCACCACAGGAGAGAAAGTTCTGACAGGGCCAAATTGGGACCCACCACGACCTGCTTGTTTGGCATGTGCTACCCCATATGGGAGTGGCAGGAGGTAAGAAGAAGCCATCAGGAGCAAGAACAAAGAGATCTGTGGCCACACTGAGGGTTTCAGCCCTTGCCTTGTGGGCACAGCAAGTTTTTGATTAGAGGAGCATCCTGACCAGCCCGCATTCAGGCGTGTGATTGCCACCATGCCATCGCAGCCAATGCTCCTGTGGCGAGGAGGCAAAGATGAGCTTCCCGAGTGGAGCCTCATTTATTTCCCTTGAATGACTTCCACCCAACACAGCTATAAAATGGAATATTTGCATTCTCCCCACTGCTTTGTTTTCTAGAATTTTCAGAGCACAGTTAGCAGAAGGATTGCTCAGGATACACATTAAGGGAGAGATTGCAGCAATCCTTCCTCCATGAGAGGCAGGGTGCCAGATGGAGGGGCAATCCAGCTCTGGAGTCAGCTCAACAGTCAACCTGGGTGAATTCTTGAACTTTTCTAAGTTTCATTTGCTCGTTTGTAAAATGGGGAAAAGACTGCACCTCCTCACAGGACAGTTGGCAGGACGCAATGTCCTAAGCACAGAGCACTCATCATAATGCTGACCTTACCGATTTTCTCACTGACAATGATTATTATTATCATTGCCGTTATCAACAGCTGGATCCTGACCACTTCCTCCAGGGACAAGAACTGCTTTCAAATGTGCCCTCTTTTACTGGGGAGCAAGACTGATCCTTGAGCTGAGCTGGACTCTGTTGTGTGTGGTGCCCACCCTCGAGCTCTGGCAGTGCAGGGCACCAAGCGGTCAGCTCTGATCCAGACATGGAACAGATGCTTCTCCTCCTGGATCCTGCTCCAGCTTCCTGCCGGAAGTCGGGGGCAGGCTGGGAGGCTCTGGCCCCACTCATCCTCATATTGGGCCGTCTGGCATCTCTTGGTGTCCCATTAAAACATGTCCCCCACCCCAGAGGACGTAGGGGCTCTCAGAGTCTGTCAGTGGCCCTAGGGATGCCAGGCAGTGGTCGGGAGCAACTCTGGAGGCCTAACTGAAGACTCTCCCAGGGGCTGCTCTGGGAGGCCCCTCTGGTTTCCTCATAGGAGACTAAGGCCTGGCCAGGGCAGCCAGTATGGAGGACCTTTTGTTTCCTAGTCCAGGTATTTCCATGCAGGAGGGGAAGACATTCCTGCTGCCCTGGCCTCTCCTGTTCCTCCTTGGCCAGTGAGGCCACACTACACCAGTTGACCCAGCCTAGGGTCAGGGCAGAAGGGACCTGGGGGCTCTGGTCACCTCAAAATCTGCCCCCCCCCCTGCTTCTTAAAGGAAAGGATGGTTGTCTGGGAAGGACAGGCCCTCAGGCAATTAAACCCTTCCTCTCATTTGCATTCCTGTCCCTGATGGCAGATTTGTATCAACATCCCCTGGGCAAGACAATCTTGTTTCCTCAACAAAACCGATTATGCACATCAGGCCTGGGGATTAATCACCAGCCACAGGGTTGGGAGCCAATAAAAAAGGCAGAGATGGGGGAAAAGAGTAGGAGGGAGGGAGCACAGGGCCAGGAGGAGGCCTGTGGCCAGGCAAGGCTGGGGCGTAGCTGCTTGGCTCGCAGTGCTGGCAGCCATCCTGCCCTTGCCAAGACTCTGATCCTCCTCCTCATCTTTCTCCCTACTGGGCCATGCCCTGGGGAAGGAAGGACTAGTTAAACACAGTGGTTAGGAGCCTGCGTACAAATAGGGAGTGATATGCCTTGGGCAGGCCATCTCCATGTCACCCAGTAGATGTCTCAGGGCCCAGGCTGCTGTGTGCCCCAGCCCTCTACGGAACCCAATCCCCTCTCACAGAGCCCCCCTGGAGAGAGCAGAGTTCTCAGCTATACATGAGGAAGGAGGTGTGGCCACAGCCATAGTTGCTGGTAGTGAGCCCCCACCCCTGTCCGCCATTCTATAGGGAGCCCCCTGGCCCACCAGACAGCCACCCGCTGCCCAGGAGCACTGGAGGGGGAGTCTGTGGCCAAGCCCGCACCCTGATGTTCCCCATCTGGACAGGGAGGCGACTCAACTTGCCTGTACTCCAGGGAGAACTTGGTCAGCTCCCGGTTGTTGTGGAGCCACTTGAACTCCAGCGGCCAGCTGCCCTCAGCCATGCATGTGAGCACCAGGCGGTTCCCTTCCAGGTGCACCTGTGTCCGCACAGGCTCCGTCTTGAAATATGGGGACACATCGTCTACAGGAAACAAGGATACAAAGCCACCGGTTAGCGCCTACGCAGCCACATGCATTGGCCCATTTAGCACCCAAGTCAGACGGAGCAGGTGCAGCCTGGCAACCCGCCCAAGGCCCCCTGGTGGGGAAGGATTTGAACTTGGGTTAGTATGACTCCAGGGCTTGGTCTTCAGCAGAGTCCTCACCTGCCACCCAGACCCCTGCCTCCCTCTACAGAAGACACACCAGGCTTGCCACCTCCATCCCACAGTACATCCGGTGGCCGCTGTCTCTTTCCCCTCAGGAGCCCTGCCCATTCCATACCAGCTGCTTGTGGGTTTTTCCCTCCCTGATAGGAGGCAGGAGGCAGGAGGGTGCCTATTGCACCTCAGCCAAACAGAGCAGCGGGTTCACACAGCTCCACCTGATGGAGGGTCCTTGTCCTGCTCCCCAAGGCTAGGGAAGTCCTCAGAGGCATCAAGGGCAGAGTGATCTGTGGGCCCTTCCACCAGCCGGCTGCTTGCTTCTGCCACCTAGGGCCCTAGCTACCCTGACTCAATCTCCCCATTCACTCCAGGACAGCTGCCTGGGGAGAGGAAGTGCTGCTGCTTGGGCTGTGGGCATGGGGCCAGGTGGCAGCTACACCTCTCTGCACAGCGCTCCGAACCCTCTGACCTGGCTCAGGCTGGCAATCAAGAGCCACCATGGTCCCTTGACACCGACAACACACACAGGGTCCTGGACTTCAAGGGACTGCTCTGGCTAACATCTTCAGATGGAAGAGGAACCTTCTGCCCCTCTGGCTGGGAAGAAAGAAGGCAGAAGTGGAAGGAGACGCGCCCTCTGATGATCCCCATGCTCAGATCCACATGGCAAGCTGCAGGCCCCGGGGGGTTCTGACCTCCACCACCTCATCTGTTCACTCCACTGCTTCCCGTGTGTGTGTGTGTGGGAGGGGTGGGGGTGGGGAAAGCATTTGCTCTATCAAGTCTCAACCTCTGCCTCAGTGGACACAGAGGAAAAACAGCTGCAGTAGGGACTGAATGAGATTAAGGACTGAAATGCTGGGCCTGGGCATGCCTCAGGATGGATGTTCTGCAAAGAGTCATTTTGTCCCCGAGACTAACATGTGGGTTTCCAGGGCTGGGAGGGGTACTACCACCCCCCATCAGCTTCCGTGCTGCTCCATGCCCCAGCCACACTCCGACGACGGTTACCATCCCCGTGAGCTCAGAGGGTGGAAACCCACCTGACATTCTTCTTTTGGACCAAGAAAGGGAACAGAGGAAGTGGGAGAAGGGGCATGTGGCATCAGGGTGACTTCAGGTGGAAGAAGTGGGGCTCTCTTGTCCCTAGGCTGGGCCCAGGACCCCTGCACCCTGTCTTCCTCCCATCCTTGCCTCTAACAAGCATGGGGCATCCATGATCACGTTCAGCCTTTGTTTCCAGGTCTCATCTGGGCTTAAGCACAGATTTACCAAAAAAGTCCCAGTGTGCTTTTGGGTCCCAGGCAACTGGCCCCGGGCCAGAGCACCCCACACCTTGCACCCCAAGGGCTCAATCATATGAGTGCATAACTTGTGACACTTTGGGGCTCTTCCTTGAACTCCCACACCATTACCAACCCCAATCCTGAAGGTGGCTCAGTGAGGACGAGCAGGCCCAGGGCCCCCTTGCCTGCTCCGCTCTGTGTCCATGTCTGGCTGATATCGGCTGAGCTGCACATTTCTCACTGCTTGCTCACACACATCTCTCCACCGCTTTTAACAACTGTCTGTGAACAGACTGGCCTTAAAAACAGTTGGGAAGGACCTCATTTAGAGCGTGGATTTGGAGGAGTGACCCTGCCCGCTGGTTCCCTGCCTCTAGGTCCTGGTGTCCCTGTGGCCTGGTTCAGCAGGCTGCAGGCCCCTTTAGCCAAGGAACGCCACTGACTCGCAGCCCTCAAGGCAGCCAGCTCTGCTCTCAGCGTAACAAATGGGCACATTCTCACTTCAAAGGCGCATTCATATTCCCCAGCAGCTTTCAAGAGGCCTTTGAGTCGTGTTCTTAAAAACCCTCTGTTCAAGGCTGTCATCCCTCATTTGTTTTAAAACAATAACATTCTCAGCCCCCAAGTGATTAAATCCCTGCCTTCGCTGTAAGGCTGACTCAGAGCCACAACTGTCAGAGGGGGAGGGTGTGTGTGTTTGCACACACACACTCACACACATGCACACACACACACACGCTCTGTGCTCAGACACCCTCGGCTCTGTGAGCCTGCTCACAGGCAGTTTGCTCCCTGATCTTTGCTGGTTCATCCTCAGCCAGGGAGGCAGGCGGTCTAGAAGAATGACTTGTACTTGGATGGGCTCATTCCTAGTCTGCTGGAGATAATGACTCCGGAGAAGGGGAGGGGAGGGGGACCTCGTCTGAGCACCTGCTGGGTACCAGGCCTCTTGCTGGGTGCTCCCCCATCCCTCCCCCCTCCCAAGGCAGCACAAAAGTGATTGAGGCTCCTCTCCCCAGTCCCGAGGGGCGATCACCCCCTCCTGCAATACAATATGTCCATGTGTATCTGTGACTGTCACCTGTGCATATTTGTGTCTGTTTGTGCATATCTGTGTTGCAAATGTACAAGACGGTATAAATCACAGGCCTTGGAAAAGTTACTTAACTTCTGCACCCCAGTTTCCTTAGCTGTAAAGTGGGGCTATCTCTGCTGTGAAGACTACACAAATTAATAAAGTGCTTAGAACAGAATCTGGCACATGCTAAAGAAGGGGTAGCTGCTATTATATCGTTCGTAAATGCAGATGGGCAGATTGCTCTGAAGAGATCATACTCTGTTAGCTGGAGCTGGCACCTCTGCTTAGCCTTTGTCCTAGGACGGTGCAGTCTACATGTGTGCAACTGTACACACCAGCCCTGTCAGCCACTGTTATAGCCTGGAACAAAAATGGCCCCAAGAGGCTCATGATTTCATAAGTGGGGCTTTTGGAAGGTAAATAGATCATGGGGGGCACTGACCCCATCAGTGGATTAATCCACTGATGACTTCATAGATAAATGTGCTATCAGGAAGGGGCCTTGGTTGGCGGAAGTAGATCAGTGGAGGCACAACCTGGAAGGGTACATCATTGTTCCCAGACCCTTCCTTTCTCTCTCTCTGGCTCTTTCCCTTCTCTCTCTCTACTTCCTGGTCACTAGGAAGTGAGCAGCTTTCTTCTACCTGGCCCTTGCACCATGATGTTTATGCTTTGGAGCCAGCTGACCATAGACTAGAGCCTCAGAACCGTGAGCCAAAGTTTCTCCTTAAACTCCATGTGTCAGGTATTTCCCCCAGATATAGAAAGCTGACCAATACAGCCACCCTTACCCTCTCAGTGGGAAGGAGAGAACTATAGACAGAGGAGAACTGGTAGAAACTATCAATATAGAAAGATAGCATTCTCTTAAACTTCTCCTTATTTTGAAAACACGCAGATTTTTTTAACTACTCAAAGTGATTAAAAAGTTTACATGAAAAGCTACTACCACGAAAGAATAATCAAGAAAGATTTGTAAATGAATGGTTAAGGTGGGAGGCTAGCACCCAACATGGAAATACATTGTAAAGCTGCAATAATTAAAACAGTGTGATCTTTATGTATATACTGACTATGGTATTATCTAGGAGGTCAGAAATAGGACTGAATAGATATGGAGAATTTTTTTTTTTTTTGGTACCAGGGATCGAACTCCGGTCCTTGTGCTTGCGCAGCAGGCGGGGAAACCACTGAGCTAAATCCCTGGCCCTAGATATGGAGATTTTTTAATACATGATGAAAATGGAATTTCATGTCAGTAGGGGAAAAGATCAATTATTCAACAAATGGTTTTGGAACAGCCACAAAGCCATTTGGGAATAAAAAATAAAGTTGAATCTTTTCTTCACACTTTACCTCAAAATAAATGCTAGAGGGATCAATGTTTTAAACATGAAAATGAAATTCTAAAAGAACTAGAAAAAATCACAGAAATTTAAAAATACATTATCCTGGCAAAATAGAACACCTGCCAAGTACTTTCTAAGTACTACACGAGCTACAGACGGTTGGGAGACAGATTGATGCATTCAACGATGAGAAAATTCTGCATGGGTAGAAGAAAACTCACAAACAAAGAGAAGCGACAAATGACAAACTGGGGGAAGATATCTGCAAGTCTTATCATGGGCAAAGAGCTAATTTTCCTGATATAAAAATGTTTCCACCAATCAATAAGGAAAAGATGAACAAACCAATAGAAAAATGGGCAAAGGATATGAACAGTTCAGAAAGGAGAATCACAGATGTCTGTGGAATACACGCAGAGATGCTCAAGCTCATGATAAAAGACAGGCAAACCAGTGCTTGGGAAGATAACATTTTCTTGCCTCTCACTTCAGCCAAGATGTACTGAGATACTAAGATATCAAGGCTGGCCGCTTGCAGAGACAGGCATGCTGGCACACTGCCTCTAGGAGGGCAGCTTGGTATGTCATCTATGGAGGGCAATTTGGCAATTCCATCAAAGCCCAAAATGCACCCACCACCTGGTCCTGCAGCTCCTCAAACGATTTGCCTTCCATGGATGCACGTATGAAATGGCAACATTTAAGAGCCAGTGGATGTGACAGCAGAAGTTTGGAGACTACTTTGATTGTGTGTCAAGAGGGCACTGGTTAAGGAAGCAAATGTATCCCCAACAATAGAGCTCTCCGTAGCAGATGGCATCAGAAAAATCTTTGAGAACTACTCTTAAGCCACAAGTGCAGGGTACAGAATCAGCTACCACTTAGGTAGAAGCTTTTCTTTTCTGGTATAAAATCCACTGGCAGGTACACATTCAGGCCTTTTCTAGGAAAGATATTCTTGGGAGAACAGGGTAGCCAGGCACTCAAGTGGGAGGGGAAACTTTCCTCTATACCTTTGTGTCACTTTTATATCACAGCCTGCAGGTGTGCGTTACTTGTTGACAATCAGGTATGTATTTGTGTGTATTCATGTATCTGTGTGT